AAACGCTTTACTCATTTCATTTATACAGCCTCAAGCTGTATTCGAATGTTATACGATATGAGGAGACTTTTACTCAACCTCTATAAAAGCAAATCTGGCGAACTTAGTCAGCTACTTATGGCTGTAGGGACGGTTGGGACAAGCTCTTATTGCATATCCATTAACGCTTCTACACAACTGTTATCCTGATGTTTATTGTATGTTTACTTGAAAGGCGCTTACTCTACCTTTTCCCGGTTATCCAATAATCACTACGCAGCTTTCTCTTGAAGTCGGGTTAAATATTTTTCACGCTATTTTTTTGATGGGGGCATTTACTAAGTTTATTTTGCTGTGAATCAAATTAATCGAAATTAGTTAGTTAGTTAGGAGCAGAGTAAAAGCTGTGAAACTGCACACGTCTAAGAACCTAGTTGACTGCGCTAACACAGTTTATTAGCTGAGTACAGGTTGTTTAGTTGTTGAAAAAACACTTTTGAGGTTTATGTTATTCAGCAAGAGTGGTTGGTTGTGTAGAAGTCATCAAATGAGTGACATATTCACTGTATTGGCTTTGTTTTGCAGCTACAAGTTGAAAGCTGGTTAGCATGTGTATAAAAGTGGCATTAGTGTTTATTGGCTGTTGTTATTCAGTGCGACTGACAAATTGAATAATGGTTGTAAAAAAGTTGAGTAAACGCTCTCCAAAACTATTTTACTAGCTTCAGTTTGTAGCTGTATCTGCAGCCTTTTTTCAGCTACTTTACAGCACAACGCTGCAAAAGTTGGCTTATAAAGCTGAAAATGTTAGTTGGGTTAGCAGCAGTTGTACCTCTCGGTATCGATCGACAGTTTGTTTACTCGATCAAGTTATTGTTTCACTGCGCAATGAACTCATTGCCAGCCGCTCGGTCTCTTGTCGTTGCCGCTGGAAGCCAAAATGTGTTATACGAGGAACACAATCAAATTCAGCTTCGTCAATGGAAGTGCAAAACCCACCATGGGCGAAATTGCCAGTTTTGTGAAAGCACTGTTTATAAAGTTCAAGTCAGAAGAATTGGTACTGCATGCATTGACGTTTAGCTTGGTAGATTAAATATTCCATTAATTAAACTACGCTCAATATGTAAAGGTGTCAACCACGATCTAAACAGCGTTGGTCCTAGGAAAATGCGAGAAAGTTAAGTGTGTCATCCGGGAGAAGTTCCTTGTAGAGTTGGGCCTTGACATGGACACAGGTATGCGAGGTGTTTACATGGATGTGGAAAGGAGATTCTCCTCTCCCTTTTAATATTCTCAATCGGAACAGGAATATATGTTATGATAAGAATAAGGATAAATTCTGTTCATGTAAGACGAAAGGGCACCGGATGAATTTCTACTCCAAGAAGAAGACTCGGAAGGAACCAAAAAAGCACCAACAGGACGATAAACCAAAACAAGACGAAGGAAAGCATCACCCGGGCGAAGTTCGCAGTGATAGCAGTTTGGATAGTAGGACGAAAATACGCAGATGTGGTAATCGAAGATGCCACAATAGACGTGACAACCCAAGATGCTGGAAAGGCAGGACAGGAAAGCAAGCAAGTAAAAACCAGGAACAGTCGGTAAAGGCGTCGCTACAAAGCAAGACCATGCTGGAGGTGACTGGGTTCCATTCCCGGTTGGGGTCTAGGAACTTTTCAGGATGGAAATTTTTCCGACTTCCCTGGGCATAGAGTATGATTGTACTTGCCACACAATTGTACTAATGCAAAAATTCCAGACTGGACCGGGAATGGAACCCAGTCACTTCCAGCATAGTCTTGCTTTGTAGCTGCGTCTTTACCGAATGGGCTAAGGGTGACCCTGGAACTACTATTGGACTTGCTTAAACATTCTCATGTAATTTTATGTGCCCCATGATGGGTTTTATTTAGCCCAAGTCAGAAACTGATAACTTCCCCGTGGGTACTCGGTACATGTCCGGATATGACCAATCTGGACTTGAGTACTAGATCTGACTACCATTGGACTTTTTTCCAGTTCTTATGTGATTTTATGTGCCCCATGATAGGGCTTAAGCCCAAGTTAGAAACTGAACACTTGCCCCGGGCTCCTGGAACATGTCCGACTGTAACCAAAAGGGTCCTGGGCACTCGAAATAACGATCATTGAACTTTTATTTTTTTTAATTCTGATGTGGCTTTTGTCTCTAGTTAGAAACTGCCCACTTTCCCGGGGACACAGGAACATATCCGGATGTGGTCAATTTCAATCAAGAGTCCAAACATCTTGATATGACCAGTAACCACCGTTGATCTTGTTTTTGAATTCTCATGTGTTTTGATGTGTCACATAATGTGTCTGGCGCGTTTCAGGTCGCTTGTAGTCTTAAGATACGTTCTCATTTTTCTGGATCCAGTTAAAGGATTCTAAAAATATTCTATGAGACAACGATACCTTTCATTCGACGCTTCTTGTGTCCAATTTAATGGAGTGGGTGCTGAGAAACCCGCCTTTACTCTAGTCTGTGATACTCGTAAGAGCATCGTGGAGCATTTCCAGGCCAAATAGCAAAAAATGAAATTAATTTCTGACCGCGAAAAAACTTTAAAATGGTGAATTCGATAATTTACATCAAATTATAACTCGAAAACGTCACATCCAATCGAATGGCTTCTGTGACAAAGTTGTCGGAAAAAATAATTGTTTTTGAGAAAAATAAACACTGCAAAAAGTTATTAGTAACTTTAGCTAAAAACTCCAAAAAAAGTGTTTAAAACTTAAATATGACCATGTTCAAAATTCCAAGTTAACACTTAAAAATTAACAAAAATCATAGAATAATAACAGGTATTCAGAGTTGGCTGGAAATGCTATTTAACATGAAGCTTTAGCGTGATAATTTATTAGCTAGAGAAAGGTCTTATAAGAGGGTAGGTAGATAATTCCGTTAGAGTACGGCAGTATAGCATTTCCAACAAACTCTGAAAATCGCAAACTTCGCGTATGAAGTAACATAAAAACACTTTGAACTTTGGTACTTTTTTAAACTATTTGATGGAAGTGACGTTTTCGAGTGTGCTTTTTCCGTGTTGGGTATACTACGACCATTTCTTTCGTAGACCCCCGCTAATTAGAACGGCACTTCATGCATATTACCGGGGTTCATTTTTCGTATGCACTTCTAGTAACCCTATAAGCATCATAAATGCATGTTTCTGGTAGCCTCTCAATGACGGTAGAGCAATTTTTAGTTTATACGGGGTGGTTCAAATTAAAAAGTGTGCATATTAAAAACGGATAGATTACCGGGGGGGGGGGATTTATACGGTATTGTGATATATTGTTTTATCAGTATTTCGTATCACTATTTTGTGAAGCGACCGACACAGACTGACCAAAAGCATTTTCCCAGCCAGGTATTACATTTCGAATGGAATGTACTGTTTGACTGGGATCTGCATTCTAAATATCGAAGGGTTCTGGCAGTCCCTTATCCAGAAAAATACGTCCTTTATTGAGGATTGCTGTACAAGAGTATAGCAAATGTTCAGTGTCTTCCTTTTCTATGCCACAGAATCGAAACATATCCTATTGTTTTCTATTAATTTCAAGTGATATTTACTTGGCCAATTTCCTGTTATCAAACCAGTATAGACACCGAGATCTTTCATTGATAATTCAAGAATTTTGCTACTAATTAAAATATTCAGAATTATGAACCGTTTCGACTGCCTAGCAATGGAAGTGTTGCTCCAGTTTGTCTCCACTTTCCTTTTATCCCATTTCTTGATCTCCGTTTTAAGAGAACGAGCAGAAACTCCACAGAGTTATTCTGGTCATATGAATTGTTGAGATGATCCTAGCCTATTTCAATGTTGCAAGATTTTTGCAAAATTCAAAATGACCCAATTTTAGCTCAGATGTGAATGATAGACTATAGCAAACAATTATGCAAAGTATTAATCGTTTCGTTTGCTATTTACTTTAATTTATTTATATTTTTCCATTTAGGCTACCCAACTTTATGCCACAGCATAGCTTCTAATTTAAAATCTATTAGAAAACTTAATAGGAGAAATGGCTCTAATGTTGGCCTATGGATCTAAGATTGGGCCCATTGCTAAAAATCTGCTATTTGTCAATGTTATCTAGATGAACGCGTCATTGGGACGGTACTAATGGATATTTTTTGGTAACTATTGAAAATTTAGTCGATTGCTGAATTTATTTATGGGCCCAAATTAGAGGCATTTAGGCCGACATTACATCCGTTTCCCCTATTAATAGAATTAAATGAAATAAGCAAGAACTAATAGGAAAATTAATCAATTGATAATTTTGCCAACAACAAAAAAATCATATTTTGAAAGACGGAACCACTCTTCGCTTCCATTTCACTCCCACTCCTTCACAGTCGTTAAATTGCGCACTTTTCGTCACCCAGCAAATTAACCCATTTATGTCCCATCCCGCATTCTCCCGCAGTCCAAGCTAAGAACCATGTATTTTTATCCTCCTCAGCACACGACACTTGTCTTGACCAACTATTATTGCTGCCACTGACTGGCCAAATTCTCCACTCGACGGAGACGCCCGGCACGCGGCCCGATTTTTTCTTCACCCCTGCGCCGGCCGCTCGTAAATCACTCCAAGGGTGCACGTTGATTTTGTTTAGTCCACCAAACAGCAACACTCATAAACATTTGCGTCTTCATCTTCCCAGAGTTTTTTATCATAAGCACTGATGGTTCACTTAGGGCGCCGCGCAAGCGTCTTTCGACAAGGCATCTTAATGACCTTTTGAGAAGATCAATCGAATGGAAAAAAAAAAACAATCTTCGATAACTCAAAGCGAAACGGAATGGCTGGGTGTCGTTTTTCATCCGGAGCATCACTTGATTAGGAAAATTTTCCAAGCAACTCATCTCCCCGGGTGAGGGTCACGCTAGGCGACGACGACGACGATAAGCGAGGTGCTAATTATTCATAATTGATGGCCACTTTTTCGGTGTAATCCACATAAGATCCACTACCTTCAATAGATTTCCGTACAGCTGGATTCTTGGTTGGGCTGTATGAAGTTCAGGATTGCTCCATTGCACTTGGGAAAAAACGGGAAGGACACTGATACTGATAGGAGAGAGCAGTGCAAATAAAATTGCTACTGCTGCTGATCACACCTACGACGGAGACGCGATACCGGATAACGCGTCCAACTTGGCGAACGATTGACGAAGGAATGAAGAGAGCTCCGGTTCTGGTTCTTTTCGAAGGCACCTCGGTTCGTGTGGGATTCCGTTTCCAGTCAGTGGCTATTGGCTCACCCAGAAGGCACCGATTGGCGGGCTTCTGGCTGGTGAGAAAGAGAGAATCGGAGAACATCAGGACCCCCCGGTGGGAGGACACAGTTGCAAGCTTTCAGCTTGTTTGTTGCAGTGGGTGGATGGAAGTTTTGCGATGCGACAAATGCTAAAACTTCAACTGGATTGTTTGTTTCAAACACAATCATTTCAATCCTTGTCCAAAAGGATATTAAATTTTCAGTGAAATTCACCGTTCGGGTTCTTGCAAATTTTGCTTTGTCCAGGATCTTAGTTTTTCTTTTTTGCTATTTAGTCTAATATCCCTTTATATTTCATTGCCCGAAATCAAATATTTTTACTCATGTCCAAAAAATTTAACTTTTCATTTTATATCGGAGATATGGAAAATATTTCGTACTACAAAATTTTCCTATACCATAATTTTAAAATTTGATCCAAGATCCGACAAAAAATCAGTTCACAGGATCCCAAAATCTTTCAATATTTAAGATCACAAAAATTATCCACAGCCTGAGATTTAAAAAAAATCCATGTTTAGTATCCTGATTCGTTTTAGCCCGGATTCTCTACTGCTGAAGCCCGTCTTTTGGTGGGGTCAATTTAAAGAGTTGGGACAAAAAAAACTAATCGTTTAGCAAATGTTGTGCCAATGCAAAGTGGTCAAAAATGGAAATTTAGCAGGAAAGATGCATTTAAAGCCTGAAATTTAATCATTAGAACAAAAAATGTAGCCTACAAAGTTGTTCCTTACAGTTCTTAAAACATCCTTGAAGTTTCCAAAAACGCACTGAAAAGCTCTGAAGATCCCTGATTTGTTCTGGACCTCCCTGATTTTTCAGAACTTTCTTAAAGTTCCAGATATTTTCCTGAAATCATGGATCGGTCCTGACATGTGAGTAGTTTTACATCAAATGACGAATCGGCTTGATGCAATCTGCCCTGATTTGTATGAAACTTGGTATAATTGTTTGTCATGGTCAATCTTTCACACATGAACTAAATGTCGGCCATTTTGAATCTCGCAACAACAAAAAAATGCGTATTTAACATTTTATAACAAATTATAACTTGAAAACGTTAATTGCAATCAAAACGGCAATTGAGGGAAAAGTTTTTGGTAAATATAATTACTTATCAGGAAAATATATCAGGTAAAAAATAGGGAATTTTGAGACAAATAAAATAAGGTAATTAAAGATTAAATAACAAAAAATCACCCTCTTCCATCTATTTGAATAAATTTTATTAAAAAGCTTATGCAAAAAGCTATCTTTTATGAAATCTTCAAGAGGAACACACAACAAATCCCTGAGCACAATTTTGACGTTGGATAACGGGGACAAAATTGAAAACAGTCATTTTGGATGCGTTACGAAAAATTAAAAGATTTTGAACGATAATAACTCAACCGTCTCTCGATAGATTTACGAGATAATGGCATCAATCGATTGGAAATATTTCTAGCAATTTGCTGAACTATTGATTTCATTCTGTAAACTATTGAAAAATGGTTAAAAGTAAACCATTGTCTAAAGATGGTGAAAATCGATTGATTTTTTTATATTCTTATACTTTCTCCAACCGAGACATCAGATGCGAGTATCTGACACCTCTGATATTTTCTGTTCTACTATATAAGCGTCCAACAAGGTCGCCCGTTCCATCATTGTCTATCCGATCGTCGACCCAGCAGCAGAGCAGCGGCAGCAGAGCAGCGGCAGCAGAGCAGCGGCAGCAGAGCAGCGGCAGCAGAGCCTGGGGGCGAAAGGGCAACTACACCGAGTGCGTTGGTGCCAGTGCTCCGGTATACTGGGCCGCCGTCATGGAATGCCCAGCTGCTGCAGTTCTAGGTCGTTCGTATTCACCGTCTGCTCCGCAAGGGCAACTACGCCGAGCGCGTTGGAAAAATGGCCCTTTTCAGGGCCACAACATTATCAAGAAAGAGTTTAACGATTAATTTTCTAATGCCTTTCCGACACTTGAATATCGAAAGTTGAATCTTCGCAGAGCCATAGATTCCATTTTTATTGCATTTCTACAAAACTTATTTCAGAATCGAACTCGTCTTCACAGACTGTGTGAAGAAGAACGATGCATCATCGAGCACAACCCGTTCCGTTCCAAAATCGTCCTCATCACAACCTCCAAAACAACCATCTACCCTCTCGACATCTCGAGTGGATTTCCCGGTTCATCATACCACCTAGCGCTGTTCTACTGATTGGTAATAATATTTACCCGGAGTTCACCGCCCTCGTGGTTGAAGCAAAGCGCCCGGCATGCAAACCACTCATCAAAATCGCCATCGCCATCCCGTACCCATGCTCGGCATAACCATCATTCCAAAACCACAACCAAAACGGCCCTTTTCAGGGCCACCAATAATTCGACAAAGAGTTAGTTTTGAAGACAATTTCTTTCCAGAATATCACAGTTACACTTAAATTTGGGGACTATACTGGGGTGTGGGAACGCTGTGGGAACCATTTTCACTGGGTCGTCGTGCGGCATTCTTACGACGTGCCCAGCCCACCGTAGTCGCCCATTTTTTGCAATGTGGACGATGGATGGTGCAATTCGTGGTTCATTCGCCTCCTCCACGTTCCGTCATCCATCTGCACTCCACCGTAGATGGTACGCAACACCTTCCGTTCGAAAACACCAAGGGCGCGTTGGTCCTCCACGAGCATAGTCCAGGTCTCGTGGCCGTAAAGGACCACCGGTCTAATCAGCGTCTTGTATTTTTTTTCCTTTGGTTTGTTTTTTCCGTCGATCTTGTTTTCCGTGCTGAGCACCAATGCTACCGACGTGCCAGGAAGGCAGCTCCCACACCTGGACCCTACCTATCGACCCATCAACTCATGAACCGGGGACCAACGGCTTTACTTCCCATCCGAAGGAAGGCGTGATCAGAGATGTTATGCCTCAGAACATCCCGGCGGCGCCGACTGGGATTGAACCCAGGCCTGCTGGGGTGAGAGGTAATCACGCTTACCACTACACCACCGGCGCCGTTAATCAGCGTCTTGTAGACAGTCAACTTCGTGCGGCGGCGAATTATATTCGACCGGAGCGTCCTCCGGAGTCCAAAGTAGGCACGATTCCCTGCCATAATGCGTCTTTGAATTTCTCTGCTGGTATCATTTTCGGCGGTCACTAGTGAGCCCAAATACACGAACTCATCGACCACCTCGATTTCGTCACCGTCAATCTGAACTCGGGGTGGGAGGCTAACATTATCTTCCCTAGAACCTCTTGCTTTCATGTATTTTGTCTTTGATGCGTTGATGGCAAGTCCAATCCGTCTAGCTTCAGCCTTCAGTCTGATGTACGTTTCCGCCATCATCTCAAAGTTCCGTGCCATAATGTCAATGTCATCGGCGAAACCAAGGAGCTGGATGGACTTCCTGAATATCGTGTAACTCGTGTCTATCCCAACTCTTCTGATCACACCTTCTAACGCGATGTTGAACAGCAGACACGAAAGTCCATCACCCTGCCGTAACCCCCTTCGAGATTCAAAGGGACTCGAGAGTGTCCCCGATACTCGAACAACGCACATCACTCGATCCATCGTCGCCTTGACCAATCGCGTCAGTTGATCCGGAAATCCGTACTCGTCCATAATCTGCCATAGCTGATCTCGATCGATTGTGTCGTATGCGGATTTGAAATCGATGAACAAATGATGTGTGGGCACGTTGTATTCGCGGCATTTCTGCAGAACCTGCCGAATCGCGAAAATTTGGTCCGTGGTAGCGCGGGCACCCATGAATCCCGCCTGGTATTGCCCCACGAACTCTCTTCCATATGGTGACAGACGGCGGCATAGAATTTGGGAAAGTACCTTGTAGGCGGCGCTCAGCAGTGTGATCGCGCGATAGTTGCAGCAATCCAACTTTTCGCCCTTTTTGTAGATTGGGCATACGACACCTTCCATCCACTCCTCCGGTAATATCTCCTCCTCCCAAATCTTGGCAATTACCCAGTGAAGCGCTCTAGCCAGTGCTTCACCACCGTATTTCAATAGCTCACTTGGTAGTTGATCTACACCAGTTGCTTTGTTGTTCTTCAGCCGACCGATCTCCTCCTCAACTTCTTGAAGATCAGGGGCCGGTACCCGAGCAAAGTAAAATATCAAATTGATAACAAGTTATATTACCCGGTTATCACTTTTTGATAACCGAATATGTTATCATTATGGTTGAATTAACAGCCAACATAACAAAAATGATAACAAAAATTGCTCGTTGGATATCACAAAAATAACTAATTTTGTTATCATTGATAATATCTTGATAATAAATTCTGCAAGCCATACAAATTTATTCTATATATTTCAAATCATGTTATCATTTTGATATCAAAGCCTTACGCTGATAACTGAAATATGATTAGGAATTATTTAAAAGCACTATTTTTTATGGTTTCAATGCGGATAATATTTAAAGTTTTGAACTAACCTTGCATCGTTAATAAATATATGGTGAAGTTTTCATGATAACAACTGATAACGAAATTGATCAAGGCTGATAACTAAATAAGTTATGCGATAACAACTGAAAACAAAATGATATCTGGGATAACAAGACTTGCTATCTAGATGATATCGGGTTGTTATTCTACTTTGCTCGGGTAGCCTGTCGTCTTCTGCGCGTGCTCCAAGGTCTGTTGCCGTGCCACCTTCGTTTTCTGCTGCTTCACCGTTGAGGTGCTCGTCATAGTACTGCTTCCACCTCTCAATCACCTCACACTCGTTCGTGAGAAGGTTACCGTCCAAGTCCTTGCACATATCGGCTTGCGGCACGTAGCCTTTGCGCGAACTATTTAGCTTCTCGTAGAACTTCCGTGTGTCGTTTACGCGGTACAGATTTTCCATCGCCTCGCGATCTCGGTCTTCC